AAATGCTGTTCTTTTGAACTTTCTATTCATCTGTGAATCCTGAAAAATAAAATGTATCACAGTTTCCACAGAAATATTGTGCAGCACAACTGTTTTCAACATTGATAATAATCAGAAATGTTTCTCGAGCAGCAAATCAGCATATTAGAATGATTTCTGAAGATCATGTGACACTGAAGACTGGAGTAATGATGCTGAAAATACAGCTGCGCATCACAGGAATACTTATTTTACTGTATTTTTGATCAAATAAATGCAGCCTTGGTGAGCAGAAGAGACTTCAATCTTAGCCTGGAAGCAGACAGTGATCTGGTCAGCACTCAGCAGACAGAAGTTTGTACCTTAGTGAAGGTCAGGCAGTCTTTGTCCTGGTCTTTGTCTTTGACCTCGAAGTCGTAGAGTGCTTTCCCCTGCGGCGGCGTCTGGGACAGCGGTCGGATGCACTGGATGTAGCTCGCCGGAAGGAATCCGTGGCTGCCGTTTAGCTCGCCGTGGAACCAGTTCTCGTCCACCTTCCGCCGCAGGATGATGATATCACCTTTGCTGAACTTCAGGTCGCCCGCTTCTTTGCCCTCGTAGCTGTAAAGGGCTTTTCCACACGGCAGCTGAGGAACGTTCTGGAAGACGCAAAGACAAAGACAAGAGACTGCGGTCAGAAACTCAGTTTTTTTTGCACCCTTTGACAAACATAAGAAGTTTTTAGCACTAGTGCAAGGTTATTATCATTAACAAAAACCCATTAATTAAAATAATGTAAAATATTAAAAACTTCAGTTAGTTTCCAGGGCAAACATTTCTTATTTTTGTTAAGTTTTTAATGAAACTAGTTTATAACTGCCCATTTTTGTTAGGTATATAGCTAAAACTAAATAACTAAAAAAAAAACTATATATAAATATAAAAAACTATATAAATGACAGAAACCCACAACAAAATGACAAACCATAAAATATAAAAAATAAATGTAAAAAAAGACAAAAAATCTTAATTCAGAATATAAACAAAAACTATAATAGTATATCAATTATACAAACTACAACAAAGACTACACAGAAATATTATAAAAAAATGATAATGACAAAAACACAACAAAATGACTAAAACTTTAAAATATAAAAATCAATTTAAAAATATAAAATACAAAAATATCTAACAATATAAATATAATGGAAAATCTAAAAATATAAAAGTTCAACATATAAACAGAAATGATAATAGTATATCACATCTAAAAACTAACAAACAACAAACACTACACATAAAAATACAATTAATAATAATAACAACAAATACACAAGAAAATGACTAAAACTTTATAATATATAATATAATATAGATAACATATAATATAAAAATTAGTGCTGTCAAACGATTAATCGCATTCAAAATAAAAGTTTTTGTTTACATAATATATGCGTATAATTTATGCATAATAATAATACAGCGTATAATTACATGTATTTACATGAATATATTTATATTCATATAAATTATATCCTATATAAATATATTTAACACATAAACGTAAATTTTTTTCTTAAATATATACATGCATGTGTATGTATTTATATATGCATAATAAATATACACAGTACACACATATCAGCAAATATATGTATATTATGTAAACAAAAACTTTTATTTTGGATGCGATTAATCGCGATTAATCGTTTGACAGCACTAATAAAAATGTATAAAATATAAACATTATATATGTATATAGGTGTCAAACCTCACAGATCACAGATTTCTACCATCATCTGTACTGTCGACTCAAACACAGACTCTTGAAACCGTTTTCAATGATTAATAAATCAAAAACAAACACTGAACCCCTGAAAGTCTCTCTGATAGTCCTGATTATGAGCCATTAACCTGGTAAAATCACTGTAAAACCTGACTTGAGTGGCTTATTGCTTTAATGTAATAATGAATAATGTAGTCTGTAAATACATGAGTCAAACACTATCAGTAAATACTGAGTTAATGATGGCTTTACATCAATTATGTATGAACACCCATGTTACAAACATAAACACACATGTATTTCAGATGAAACGTGTTTCATGTTGAAACATTCATTCATCAGGGTTTATCGTACTGGAGTTTTATAACAGTTCAATAGACAAGAAGTTAATATCAAGCAACTTCCATTTTAGCCACAATAATTCCAGTTACTTTGTCTATTTTTGCTCCATCAACAAAACTTGTTCCAAAAGGTTTTGAATGAATCGCTTGAATGAATGACAGTACCTTGATTTGTTCTTTAATTAATCAGCTTTTTAAACAAAACAGTTCAGTGAATGTTTCAATGACTCACTCATAAAACCAGCCACTTGATTTGTTTCTGAATAAATCATCAGGTTTGAATGTATCGTTTGAACGAATGATTCAATGATTCAATCGTAAAAACAATCATTTGATTCATTATTTAATGCATCAGCGTTTTCTACTAATCAGTTCACTGCCCAATACAATGATAAAAACAATAGTTTTTTAAATTTCTGAATAAATTGTCAGTTTTAAATGAATAATTTGAATGAATGATTCAATGACTCACTCATTAAACCAGTCACTTGATTCGTTCTTTAATGAATCAGCATTTTAAACGCTAAGTTCAGTGAATGATTCAATGACTCACTCAAAAAAGAGTCACTTGATTTATTTCTGAATAAATAATTGGGTTTGAACGAATCACAGGGCTTGTCAGTATATACACTGAACAAAATTATAAACGCAACACTTTTGTTTTTGCCCCCATTTTTTATGAGCTGAACTCAAAGAGCTAAGACTTTTTCTATGTACACAAAAGGCCTATTTCTCTCAAATATTGTTCACAAATCTGTCTAAATCTGTGTTAGTGAGCACTTCTCCTTTGCCGAGATAATCCATCCACCTCACAGGTGTGGCATATCAAGATGCTGATTAGACAGCATGATTATTGCACAGGTGTGCCTTAGGCTGGCCACAATAAAAGGCCACTCTAAAATGTGCAGTTTTACTGTATTGGGGGGTCCGGGGGGGGTCTGAAAACCAGTCAGTATCTGGTGTGACCACCATTTGCCTCACGCAGTGCAACACATCTCCTTCGCATAGAGTTGATCAGGGTGTTGATTGTGGCCTGTGGAATGTTGGTCCACTCCTCTTCAATGGCTGTGCGAAGTTGCTGGATATTGGCAGGAACTGGAACACGCTGTC